GAGCTAGAACTAGAGCTAAATATCTGCTGATTCCCCCATGGGAGGGCATCCTCACCAACCCCAAAGTATGACTCATTGGTTGCCTATTTAGATACTGATTCACCTCAGGTTTTATATTTAAGTTCAGAGGTCTTTTTTGCTAGCCAGGACCATCCTTTCCTTCTGCTCTTCTCTAATACCCAAGGGGCTTTTGGCTGCAGGGACAGAAACCAGGGACAAGACATGAGGAGACACCAAGCCATCTCTTCACCATGACAAAAGATCTCTGGGTATAGATTTACTTGAGTTTACATGAATATCAAATGAAGATATTGAGATGATTTATCAAATGTTGGTCTTACCAAATGGGAATTCTGGGAGATCGATGAATCCTTGCTTGTTGCAGTCGGGAGTGTGGTAAGCCAAGGGCTGGCTCATCAGGTGAGCTTTCAGTCGGGCAGCCTCCAAGCCCTCTTTCATGAGCTTCACTGTTTGTAAACTAATGGTGGGGTCAAAGTGGCAGTTCACACCAACGATGGATGCTCCTGTGAGTGGGAAGAACATGATAGCCTTAGGGATGCACCACAAACCAGCAGGACCAGCTCTCCTCTCTTCATCAGGAATCAGGAAGCTTTTTTTATATTTTTAAGGCAAAGTCTTACTCTATCGCCCAGGCTGGAGTACAGTGGTGTGATCTCAGCTCACTGCAGCCTCCACCTCAAGCGATCAAGCAATCCTCCCACCTCAGCCTCCTAAGTTGCTGTGACTACAGGTGTATGCCACCATGTCTGGCTAATTTTTTTTTTTTTTAAATAGATACGGGGTTTCACCATGTTGCCCAGGCTGATTTCGAGCTCCTGAGCTCAAGTGATCCAATGGCCTCCTAGACTGTTGGGATTACAGGCGTTAGCCACCATGCCCAGCAGGAAGATTTTAATTGGAACGATGAACTGGAAGCATAGCACTGGGTCCTCATTCCCCACAAACCTCTCTTACCTTTGAGTGAGAATGATTATTAGCAGGCAGGAAGCGCTTTCTGTGAAAAGTGCTTTGAAGAGTCTGGTATAATTGAAGTGTCATCTTTTTTTGTTTGTTTGTTTGTTTGAGACAGAGTCTTGCTCTGTTGCCCAGGCTGGAGTGCAGTGGCGCAATCTCAGCTCACTGCAGCTTCCGCCTCCCAGGTTCAAGCAATTCTCCTGCCTCAGCCTTCTGAGTAGCTGGGACTACAGGCACGTGCCACCACGCCGGGCTAATTTTTGTATTTTTAGTAGAGACAGGGTTTCACCATCTTGGTCAGAATGGTCTCCATCTCCTGACCTCATGATCTGCCCACCTCAGCCTCACAAAGTGCTGGAATTACAGGTGTGAACCACCACGCCCAGCCCTGTCCATCTTTTTTCAAAACAAAAATTATTAGTTTTTTTAAACTTCAAATTTTAGTAGTCAAACTTTCAATGTTTGACATTATGTTGCAAGCACAATAATTTTTCAACACTCCCAGCTGCTAGATTACACCTGTGTTTATCATACTGCTTAACTTGAGGTGTAAATAAATGTTCCTTTTCACCAGGCCAGCTTAATAAGTTCATTAGCCTTCTTGGGCACAGCACCAGGATGTAATTTAGAAAAAAGTGTTTTAGACATGTGTTTTCTAGAAGGAATTTTGTGTCTAGGATTAATAGTTTGGGGAAAAAGAATCTCAAAAATCCTTTGACTTCAGCTACTCAATGTGGTTACTAGCCTATCAGTCATTTTGACAAGCTTTTAATTTACATTTCGGCCTCCCCAGACTCACAACTATATGGGATTGTCTTCCTATAGTATTCTTGTAAAATTTGGTGTTGTGAAGTTTGATTTAGTGAGAACAAAATATGTTTTAGATGTTTCATTTTCTTCAAAAACTTTCTTTATAGTCATTATGTTCTTAACTATATTTGGACCAAAGATGATTTACCATGGCAATCACTAGACATGATTTTGGAAGTTTCCTCCTCCAGAAGATTTGAGAGGGCATCATGACATAATAATTCTTTATCCTCTCAAAGTGGGAGGAATTCCCAAATAGGACTTTTCTTTCTTTCCTTTTTTTTTTTTTTTTGAATTTTAAAAATTGTGGTAAAATATATATCATGTAAAACTAGGCATTTTAACCTTTTAAAAAATTTTTATTTTTGTAGATACAGGGCCTCATTATGTTGCCCAGGCTGGTCATGAACTCCTGGCCTCAAACGATCCTCACACCTTTACCTTCCAAGGTGCTAGGATTATAGGCATGAGCCCCTGCATCTGGCCCATTTTAGCCATTTTTAAGTGGCATTAATTAGGTTCACAATGTTCTGCAACTATTATCACTATTTCCACATTTTTTTCGATACCCCAAAGAGAAACTGCACCCATTAAGGACTAACTCCTTATTTTCCCCTTCTGCTAGCCCCTGGTAACCTCGAATCTACTTTCTGTCTCTGTGGATTTGCCCATTCTAGATATGTCATATAAACAGAATCATATGATATTTGTCATTTTGTGAGTGGCTTAGTTTACTTAGCATGATGTTTCCAAGGCTCATCCCTGTTGTGGCATGTTTGAGAACTTCATTTCTTCTTATTGCTGCATGATATTTCATTGTATGGATACACCACATTTTGTTTTATCCATTCACCTGTTGATGAACTCTGAGGTTGTTTCTAAAGGACTTTTTTGGGCCAGGTGTGGTGGCTCATGCCTGTAATCCTAGCACTTTTAAACTTCCTTTTCTGTTCTAGACTTTCAATACCATCTATACCCAGATCTCTCTCTCTTATCCTGACCTTCCCATTGGACTCCAGACCTGAATATTGTGGATATATACAAGTTTCCAGAAGTAAATATACTTGTATGTGTGTGTGTGTGTGTATACATATGTATCCAGAATATGTGTGTGTATATATATATATACTTGTATATATAGATATACTTGTATGCTTCATATATATATATATTCATCAAATTGTGTATACATATACTCACAAGTATATATATCCACAAAATCCAAGTCTGGAACCCAGTAGGAAGGTCACTGATATCAACTAAGCTATAAACTGTTGAAAACCTTTGGCTACCTTTTTTTTGGATATTGTGCTGCCAGAGTTTCTCTTTCCTTGCTGAACTTCATTCTATTAATAAATTAATAATATGTTGGCTATTTATTGGATGTCTTTTAGGTATAAGCCTCCTTGCAAGAGATTATAGAGAAGTAGAAATAGAGGACATTGTTCCTGACATCAACGATTTTATAATTTAGCACAGGGTTTTCCGAGGTTTGGTCCATGAAAATAATGTTCCATGATCAATTAAGTTAGGAAGTAGCTGTTCACTACATCACCTTCTTGAAGACTAGGAATATATGTGAACATACCAAAGATTTTGATAAGTTCCACAGTAAAGATACCTGCTTAAGGCTGGGCGCGGTGGCTCACACCTGTAATCCCAGCACTTTGGGAGTCTGAGGCGGATGGATCATGAGGTCAGGAGTTCGAGACCAGCCTGGCCAACATAGTGAAACCCCGTCTCTACTGAAAAATACAAAAAATTAGCTGGGCTTGGTGGCGGGTGCCCGTAATCCCAGCTACTCGGGAGGCTGAGACAGGAGAATCGCTTGAACCTGGGAGGCGGAGGTGGCAGTGAGCAGAGATCACGCCATTGCACTCCAGCCTGGGCGACAGTGTGACAAAACTCTGTCTCAAAAAACAAAACAAAACAAGATATCTGCTTAATTCGGTTCAGCGCAGCCTTTTCTAAATGTAGTTAACCCCAGAACCCTGTTAACATTCTCGCTGACTGGAAACTAGACTGAGGCTATTCTTAATGAGTGGTATAAACAGCAGATGTTACAATTGCTGAGAGGAAAAAGTGATCACTTGGGGTAGGAAAAATTATGTAAGGATACATGGAAGTATAATTTGAACTAAACATTGGAAGATGGACTAGATTTACTAGACAGATTATTTGTTAAGGACCTATTATGTGCTACATGCTACGCTAGACACAGGATACTCAGTACTGAACTAAACAGACAGTCTCTGCATTTATGGATCTTATAATCTAGTGAGGGAGTCAGCCATTAAACAGTTAAACAAATGAGATAAGTGAGAAGTGCTATGAAGAATATAAACAGGATACAGCGATATAAAAAATTGTAGCCATCTACTCTGTACAGAATGAGGGAAGAATTAGATGCAGGCCATGCATTCATTCCAATTAACAGTGGGGATAATGAAGGCCTCCTCTGATCTTTCTACAAAAAGTTAACTTGCCTCTCCCCTAGTTGTTGTATTTCCCCATGAAAAATTATGATTATACAATTTTGTCCCTAAATCTAAATATTTGTTATTATTAATGACAAGTATGAAAGTTATTTTCATGAAAAATCAGGAATTGGGTAAAAATCAGAGATTAAACAAAATGCTAGTCAAAATTTCTCTATTATACAAAGTGAGTCAGGCTTTTTCCCTGACAATTATTTTCTGGGTTTAAAATGGGGCAGTTTTGAAAACAGTCTGTGGGTTTCTTCTAAATGAAATGAAACCCAATATTTGGAATGGATTTACAATTATACAAAAGATATACTGGGTTGTCAGTGTTTTATATCAAAGATTTTCTGATTTATTATACCAATTATAAAAAGCAAAATATACTAGTAATTTATGAGACTGAAAAACTTTGGCAAACAGGGCAACTAACTTAAAAGTTATTAATGTTTAAAGACCTTACTTGTAGATGTTAAACCTCCAGCTAGGGCTAGTTGCTCCTTTCAGAAGCCTGGTGTGTGTGTGTGCATGTGTGTATGCGTGTGTGTGTGTATTTTTAAAACTTTTTTCCATCTGGGATTCAATAATATCAATATTCTTACAAAAGTAAATTAATGGTTTTTATGTTAACGAAAGTAGTATACACTGATTCGTAGGCAGATGTGCACTCGCGTGTTCTTTTAAGACTTACTAATCACAAACTGATTGAAATCTGTCATCACCTGCTTTCACCAGGCGCACTGCACACTCGCCGGGGGGCACGCCATGCAAATCTCCTTCCGGGCCAATGCACATGGTTGCTGCCACAGGTTTACCAGATGCTATCAAGGTTTCAACTGCCCACACAGCTTCTTCAACATGTTCAAAATACTGGAATCAGTTAAGGTTAGAGTACTTTTAATATCGTTTCTCCCAAAACAATTTTTTTTTTTTTTAAGACAGAGTTTCGCTCTTTCACCCAGACTGGAGTACAGCTCACTGCAACCTTCGCCTCCCATTTTCAAGCAATTCTCCTGCCTCAACCTCCCAAGTAGCTGGGATTACAGGCGCCCACCACCATGCCCAGCTAATTTTTGTATTTTTAGTAGAGACGGGGTTTCACCATGTTGGCCAAGCTGGTCTCAAACTCCTGACCTTGTGATCCACCTGCCTTGGCCTCCCAAAGTGCTGGGATTACAGGCGTGAGCCACCACGCCCAGCCTCTCCCAAAACAATTTGAAAACGTATTCTATTGCTTAAAAACTTCATTATTACTGTTTTCAAACTTTGAATTGTGACCCATTAGCATTTTTTAAATGAAATAGAATGATTTCTTACTATAAATTGCAGTCAAAAAGTTGGAAAAACACCATACCAGATTAACTGAATCAAATTTATCAGAAGCCCTGAATTGGGAAACGATTTCAAAAACTAAATATTACTATTACTAGTTATGATCGTCACCTAACCCCACACAGTACTCTTGAAAGCCAAAGGTAGAGAAAATGTACTAGGTGTATTTGTCTTATCTTTCACATTATTCTTTACCTCTGCAATCAAGAAGTCCACGTTCTTCTTCATAAAGACCTCTAACTGTTGCAGAAATACTTTTTTGACTTCAGTTTCACTCTTGCAGCTAAGGTATGAAGGTGTCTGACTCACTCCTCCTGCTACCAAAGCATCTCCTTCATCAGCCACTTGTCGGGCAATGTCGCAAGCAGCTTCATTGACTTTCTGCCCCTAAAATGGGTGAGTATATAAGACTTCTAAATTTTCATGTGAAATTGAAATAAAATTATTATTCAAATATTCACATCTTAGTTGTATATTTACAATAGTATCTTATTCCAGAAAATGACTGTTACGGAATAGTTCAAAGCTTTATACCAAGTTGAACAGTTTGCAATAACAATAACACTAATAATAGTGATAGTAACAATAAATATATATTATATATGACATTACATTATACCAAAGATGTGTGAGATGGTAAAAGTGTTTACATCGAAGGATGTTATCTGGTATCTTCCAGTGCCTAAGATGCACTTAGAAGAGTACCTAACAAATAGTAGTGGTGGTGATGATTTGCTTTTATGAAATTAAATTTAAATAACTATAGAATTCAGGACATTTTTGTATGTATATTCTCAATTAACAGATAAGTGCATAACTAATAAGGTCTTTTTTTTTTTTTTTTTTTTAAGACGGAGTCTCGCTCTGTCACCCAGGCTGGAGTGCAGTGGCCGGATCTCGGCTCACTGCAAGCTCCGCCTCCCGGGTTCCCACCATTCTCCTGCCTCAGCCTCCCGAGTAGCTGGGACTACAGGCGCCCGCCACCTCGCCGGGCTAGTTTTTTGTATTTTTTAGTAGAGACGGCGTTTCACCGTAGGTCTTTTCTAATTATTTAGACTTTAAAAGTTGTTTGTTATGCTCAACAAACAAAAAGCTCCCCAAACCTAGCACTGTATACTCATGGAATTTTGGAAACCTCAGCCTTGATGGGGTAAAGGGGTTGGTCCAACATCACAAAGTAGATGTGGTTGAGTCAGGCACTATTCCAGGTTTACTGATTTATTATGCCTACGATCTTTCCTCTAGCCATGCTACATTTAAAAACATTAAAGATGAAAGAATTTGTAAGGATGCCCAATTTACTCAGCAACTTAGGAGACTAGGAGAATCATTAATCATTAAATACCTCTTCTTTCATCTGCTTTGCTAAATGCCTCTTTGTTAATTTTGGGGATTACAGCTAAATAAAACCTAAGGCTGTTATACACGCCTCTCATTTTTGTATTATTAGAAATGAAACAAAACTCTGAAGAGGCTGAACCCTTTTCTCTATGGAAGCTTTGTTGATGCAATGAGTCAACAATATCCTTCTAAAAGTTCCACAGCTGGTTTTACTCACAGATATCTTCTCTAAGACATAGTTTCCCCTGTTCTCCAGCTTGTCTTCACTCGCATAGAAGGTGAAGGTCTGCATGACGTTTGAGCCAGCTCTGAGGAACTCTCGATGAAGCTGGCGAACTGGGAGAGCGAAAGAGGAAAGGTATAATTTCTGTTTATTAACCCACAGTGTTTTCAAATGGCTCTCAGATAAACAAGCAGGAAAATAACTGCTTGAATTTCTGGTTGCTTGACATTTGCACATCTTAGGGGTAGATGAGAGGTAGATCTGAAGTCTCTTGGCAACTCCTGCAAATCTGCTGTGACTAGATGAATGAGTGGCCAGCGGATGCTCGTATTCCTGTATTTGCTCATCTTGTTCATTGTTTACTTTGTTTATCATTCATTGACTGTATTTGTGGATGGCACCCATGGACACAAGGATGAACAATCCAGTATCCTGTCTTTGGACAACTTTACAGTCTGTCTAGAAATAACTAACTACAGCACTGCATGGTTCGGTTATGCAGGAAGAAGGGATCATTTCTACCCAGGACATGGGGCAAGGAGGTGAAGGAGGTCCGAAGATGAGGAATCATTTGAGCTGCACTTGGAAGAATTCTGTGCTATTGCCAGGCAGAGAAGGTGGGAAAGGGAATTCCCTCCAGAGAGAACAGCCTGAGCAAAGCTAATAAGGCAGGAACAGGCATAGCATTTGGGAGAATGACAAGTACTTTGAATGGCTGGAGTTGATGAATCAGGGAAATATTTAGTTTTTAAGCAACTGGATGATGTGATTAGTACAGTCTTTTCAAAAGATAATTCTGGTAGCGGGGTGAAATAAGAATTGGAGCAGGATTTCCAAGCACAGATCCACGGATGCATGCCAAATGGCAAGGTTTTTTTTTTTTTTTTTTTTTTTGGAGATAGTTTTATTCTGTCACCCAGGCTGGTGTGCAGTGATGTGATCTTGGCTCACTGCAACCTCTGCCTCCTGGGTTCAAGCAATTCTCTTGCCTCAGCGTCCTGAGTAGCTGGGACTACAGGTGCCTGCCACCATGCCTGGTAATTTTTTGTATTTTCAGTAGAGGCAGTGTTTTGCCATGTTGGCCAGGCTGATCTTGAACTCCTGACCTCAAGTGATCTGCCCGCCTTAGCCTCCCAAAGTACTAGGATTATGGGTGTGAGGCCTCCAAATGGCAAAGTTTTATCAGCTGGAGGAATATGGTGGGATTTTTTTTCCCATATAGCTAAATGTATTCAGTTTAATAAATTATCATTTGTTTTAAAATAGCTGTCCTAAGCTATGGTTGCCCATTAGATCCCCTGCAAACTTTTTTTAAAATTATGGATTGGAATGTCAAATCCACAGATATTCTGATTTAATTGGTTTGGAGTGAGGCATAGGCATCTTCTTTTAAAAGTTTCCCCAACCCATCTTTGTTTTCAGCCTTGTCAAAAACTGCCATTGTAAGATAGTGGAAAAAAACTCCTTTTATAAAATGACAGTGAAACTTGGATGATGGTTGTTTTTGTTAGGAGAATTAACTGGGCAAAGTAAGAAATCAGCATGCTATTAATATATCAGCTCCTGAAAATTATTTTGAAATTTCAGAGGTTCATGAAATCCAAAGGTCCAGGAGCAACTATATGAGAGGCTAGGAAATTGCTAGGACGCTGAAGTTCTTAGCCCTTGGGACTAACACAGGAGATGAGTCTATACTCATCTCTTGCATCCCAGAGGCCTAGTACAGTAGAGTGCCTGGAACATAGAAACCTTGGTTTTTGTTTGTAAATAGATGAATACATAAGTGAAAAAAGCTTTTAAATTTTAGAAAATGGATTTGTAAGCTTGTAGTCATTTTCCATGATTTTTTAAATCATAGAAAGTTCTCAGTGGGACCTCAAAAGCATCCCTAAATTAGTGGGCTTCAAACTTGTTTTATAATAACAGAACCAATTAAAAATATAGGGAGTCCCATATATCAATCAGATAAACCCAGAGCTGCTGTGGTTGGAGAGGACTGAAAGGCCTATATACTAGGTTTCTGGATGCTAGGAAGAAATGGTTTATAACTATGAAGTCCACTCACGTGGTCCTTGGGTGGATTTCCAGAGATTTCATGAAAAAACCCTGGAAATGTGTGCAAATTGTTATGTATAAATACATTTTACAGTGCAGAAGGTCTATAAACTTTTATCAGATTTTTCCATAGGGCAGTGATCTCAAACAGTTGAAGACAACTCCTCACTCTTGATTATTCATCATGCTTCTAAAACTGCAGTAATTCTCTAAGTATGATCCATCTTAGAGTCACCTCGGGGCAATTATCAGAAAGGCAGATTTCTCAAACTCTTCCAGACCCCAATAACCTGAATTCATTGCTGAATTAAAACTGCTTCCACTGGGTGCAAGAACCATAACTTTGGGCATGAACTTTAGCAAGAGAATGAGGCTGGTAATTTCTGAGTATCCTTTCACCTACATTTTCCTGATCACAAGGTTCCTAGGTTCATCCTCTAACCCATAATACGATAGGACTAGTCCCTTTTACACAATGATGTCACCTATACTAATTGATTACCTTCATTTTGTGGCCTTAACTCCTCATTATATTACTTATTTTAACATCATAGAAGCTAAGTATACATTGATACATGATTACATGTGTACATAGCATAGTTGGAGATTAGCCTTATAGATTTAGCTTGAGAAATGCAAGTTTTTGAAATTCCACAGTAAACTCTAAAAGGTCGAATAAAATTCTGAAGTATTTCTTCAGTTGGGTAAGTTTGCAGCAAAACCATTTGGGGGCAAAATATGACCTGAACCAACATGAAGGTATTGATAAACATGTTTCAATTAGTAAAGGTAGTCATATATTGTGATGCAAAAATGTATTAATGTGTTTCAATGGGGGCTGCTTCAGGGTCCATTGGGAGTGTTACATAATATGCTACTGTATTAACTTTCTAACGTCCCCAGATTCCTGGATTCCAAGACACATGTGGCCCCAAAATGTGGTTTGGACAGGGGATTGTGGGCCTGTAGCATAACCACTCCTTTCTTGTTGCCTAGAACATGAAAAAGTCAGGCCCAGGCACCGGATATATAAAAATGTTGCAGGTGAAGTCCAGCTTGCAGGAAGACTCTTCGGGGTTTCCATCAATTCTAGCTACCACTCAGTCTCAGTTACAAAAGCACTGCAAATACACACAATCATTTGCATAAAATAGCTCAAGCGATCCTCCTGCCTCAGCCTCCCAAGTAGCTGCGACTACAGGCGTGCACCACCATGCCCAGCTAATTTTTAAAAAAACTTCTGAGAGACTGGGTCTCCCCGTGTGCCCAGGCTGGTCTTGAATTCCTGGGCTCAAGTAGTCTTCCCACCTCAGCCTCCTGAGTTGCTGGGATTACAGGCGTGAACCACCACACCCGGCTCCTTTATAAGAACTTACAATAGAGCTCTGCACCAACCTGCTTCTGGGTGCTCCACAGCAGCTTCAGGAGTCCAGGGTCCTGCCTTTACGTAGCCCCTCTTCTCCAGTGCAAAGACAAACCCTCCATCTCCAATCACAATCTCTCCAGCATTTAAACGTTCTAGGATGCCCTAAAATTACAGATGAGGGAGGAAAAGGAGTTACTTGAGTGTTTAAGAGAATTTTCTATTTTTATTATTTTTGCTAATATATTCTTGGAGAGGTGTGGTTTATTTTAGAATTTTCAGAGAAAAATTTATATTTTATATATACATTTATGGCTATCTATAAGACAAACAACCAGAATGCTCATAAAATAAACATTTGTGTATTCCTTTGTATGTGCTGGGGTTGGGGGGGTATTTCAGAATATGTTAAAGAGTGTTTGAAGAATACCATGGGAGGTGTGTTTCAAGAACTATCTGCTGAGGGATTAAATGAAAAGATTTTGTTGTAAAGCCTCAAATCTGCACTTAAGCACAGATTCTTAAAATGGTAAATACTAGTCGTCTTACTCTATCAACAAGCTAAAGAGAGGGTTAAAATTGTTAAACAAGTTGAAATGGCATAGAATGCTTTTTTTTTTTTTTTTTTTTAAATTTCTTAGAGACAGGGTCTCACTATGTGCCCAGAGGAACTTGAACTCCTGGGCTCAGAAGATCCTCCAGTCTCACCCTCCCCAGCAGCTGAAACTACAGGCTCGTGCCACAGTGCCCAGCAATGCTATTAAGCCATTTTATTTTAAGACTGAAAAGGTGGCCAAATCACTCAAAGACTTCTATCTTTGGTGTTAACATTGAGTTTCCGCAACAGTAGCTGTGCTATACAGACCAGGTTATGAGTGTGCGCATTCTGTACTCTATGATGAGAACAAGGAAGAAACAACTAAATAAAGTATTTGTTGAATGATTTTCAGCCCAATCACCATACTTATTCCATTTACAATACTGTGCAGTAATCACCCTGTTGTTCTATAGATAAATTTGGAATTAAGTATTTTGAAAGGGTTTTGTGAATTACAAAGTAATTCTCTAGTTCAATAGTTTTTTTTTTGTAATTTCAAAGAATCATAGACTTTAAAAATAAATAGTATTCAATTCAACTGAGATCTCTCTCTCATTTCACAAATGAAAAATCAAGACCCAGAGTCCCTGAGTAATTTATACATGGTCTTCCAGATGGGGAGCATAGGGCTTCCTGACTCTTTTATGATTAAATAATATCTATATTTGATTTTAAATGGGATTAGGGGTGGCGGGACAGCCCTGAAAAAAAACTATACAGTGTAAAGGAATAACTTGGGATGTATTTACCTAGTGTGTTCCATTTACTACCAATAACAGTGGATAAAACAAAAGCTGACATAATAACAAGCATTCCAGAAATCTGTGAGAGGCAGTCACAGGATTTTGTATCCCAATTCTTTGCCGCCTTCTTAGAACCTCCCTCATTTTCATTCTCTTCCCCTCCACTGCCCCTTCCCATGCCATTTGGACAGCTGGTGCTCAGAGAGAGGAAATAATTGACATTTCACCAGACAGAAGCAAAGTGGTAGGATTATGCTGTGTGTTCCCTAATATACCTTTCAGATCAAAACATTTTTAAGCCATAATGTTGAAGCCATGTTATCTTCCGGGAGCCCATAAAATAACAAAGCACTACAAAAATATAAATGGCTCACAT